CTAAAAAAATGCAGCTTCGGCAAAAGCAATCGCTGAAAAGCTGCTAACTGCATCGTTATACGACTGCAAATCAAAATGCTATAAAAGCAAAATCAAGTATTACCGGCACCACTGTAATTATGGCCTGGGTAAAGTTTTAATACTTCAACTGTAAAACTTTTGAAGGGCCAAAATGTCAAATACTTGGGAAATACTTAGAAAAATGTCAAATACTTAGGAAAATGAATGAAACAAAACTTGCCTGTATGACACTGTCCACGCGCCACAGATGTACTTCGGTGGAATCTTTGCTTGCAATGCCAAGCCAATGGCTTGGCCCGGTTGAGAAAACAAGCGACGAAGTATGGGTGACTTGTAGGTGATGCGTGAATGGTGCCAAAGCTGACATTGTCAATGCCATTGGAATGTTTGGATTTGTGTAATTGTGCACAAATCGACACTTCGGTGAATGGCGCTCGTGTTCCGCCCTGAAAAAATACAATGTGGAAAAAAAGACTGATAAAAAATATGTAAGGCTCATCTCTCCGTTCTTTCAAAAGCTTAAATTTTTAAAATCAAATTGCTTTAAAAACACTCAGTTATTATTAACTTTGCCAAAAATTTTCACGAGGTCGTACGTGAGAACCATGCATAACTGGGGATTGAATTTGAAATCTTTAAGTTGCACATGGGCTGGGATACATCCCATACATTAACACTGATAACTTTTATATATCTTTATAAATCCACCAACGACAAACATGTGTCACCAGCAAAAACAACGGTTCCAGCTTTTTCACAAGCATTATTCCCTATAGTCTTTATATAACAATGTCGAAATACACCGCCCTGGTACATCAACTTGCTGTGCTAGCCACATTTTCTAATTCCGTCAGTTCCGACGCATTCACATCGATACACGTGCAATTTTTACATTAGTATAAAAAAATTTACAGTAATTATGCATGCTGGAGGCTGAGATTTTCATCAGGCTGCCCCATGATGCAACACTGTCGTCCCTACTGACGCCCTATTCCTCCTTTGTGCAGGAAACACAAAAATACTGCCAATAGGCCTGCTTTCAAACACTTACCATGGTTCATCTGATGGCTCCCAGCATACCAGACACAAAAAGCATGCGAAACATAGCACACGATCTTCGCCCGATCTGTTCGGCTGATGATAAAAGCCAGCTTCTGCCATCTGTGCTGGCAATGCCCATCTGAAAACAATTGAGACTGCAACAGTTTCATTTTTTCAGCTGTTGAATAAAAATTCAATTGATTGGCCATACGAAAGATTTTAGTTAACTTTTGCTAGACCTCCATACATTGGCAGATCCAGGGAGTGGAGGTATGGCCTTTCGCTTCCCCCTCCCCCCACCTCCTCCCGTCGCACAGGTAACAATGCTAAAATTGAAAAAAACTCTCTTTCGCATCCCCGGTTGCCCTTCCCCTCCAGGAGTCTCATATCCCCTCCTCCCCCCGGTTGCTGCCGCACCGGTAGGCTCACTTCTCCCTCCTCCTCCTGGTCGTCGCCAAATTGGAACACCTGCTTCCCTCTCCCCTTCTATCGTCTCTATGCCAGAAGCTCTCTTTCCCTCATCCTTTCCCCCAACTCTCTCCCCCCCTCCCCACCCGCCCCCTGGAGACCGTCCTGGATCCGACTATGCCTCCACAACTGGTAAAAATCGATTAAAATCCTTCATACGGATAGTGACAAAGATTTGTGCTACAAAACTTCTCCTTTTAAGTCAGAAATCCCCAACAATCTCTCTTTCAGCTCTTTTTCATCAAACCGTTTCACAACAAGCAATTCCTCTTTTAATTTTTGAAAAATAAAAGTCAGTTACAGCGTGCAATTATATCAGCTAGGCACGATGAATGGAGTATGATCAGATAGTCGGAATGTAAATTTTGGACAAACTGGACAGTACAGTCAATATTCTCTACAATAAACGTAAAATTAACACCAAAAAAGGTAGAAGTTTTGAAAAAAGATCTAATTGACAGCTTAATTGGAGCTACTTGTACGTATTGAATTCAGGATCGACAAACGTGAGAAAAAAATTGCTCAGCTGCATTAATTTCCGTAAAGAACATAAATTATGAAGAAAAATATTCACAGCTGTCCAAAATATCAACGCAGTAATGCAACAAACCTGTAGTCCATGTGTGGCCAATGCTCAAACGTAAGTTTGCGTGCTGCTTCGCTTGCCATCGTTTCTTTGTTCAGGCCTTTCCATTCCGGTGAATAGTCGAAACTGTATGGATGTTCCGGATTCAACAACAGCTGCAAAAGTGCCCACTTAAGAAAAATTTCTACTTTTTCTTCCAGTGAAATGTAAAACAAACCCAGGCAGCAGAGCATCAGGTTTGCTTGTACGATCTTGCGTTTTTGCAAAAGACTTGAAACAGTCAAGTTATTAACTGCATAAATGGTTGTTGCTTTACACCTACCTTGCGCGCTCATTAGCGTAAAATACCGTAAATTTTGCATAAAGGAAAATGAACAATTTCGGTCGTCCCTTGAAAATGACTTAGCTGTTCGGTGAGCAATTTTCCTGCCAAAACTTTCAAGTGCCCATATGTGACAATCACACATATTTTGAGGCTGAGTTTGAAATATAAAAAAATTTGTACTTAGACAAGCAACATTCCTCCAAAATTCGAGCTTTCTAGCTTTTCTTGTTTCTGAGTTAGTAATTTTCCCACCAAAACTTTCACACGCCCGTACTTGAGACATACACAGTGAGACATACACAGAGAGACCTCTTGCCAATATGCGTTTATGCATTTCCATATATGCAAAAAACGCATGAAAAAAGGAAAACAGGACAAAAAAAAAAAACTCACGCGCAAACGTTCACCAAGTATTGAAACATATGGCCATATGAAAGTCATCCATTCGGCTGGTACTTCTGTCTGATTTTCACGTGGAGTCTGCGCACAACACAGCTCCTCAAGCAGCTCCTTACCGTTTGTTTCAACGACCACTGATTCAAGCTGAAAAAAAACCCCCCTCCATAAATCTGAAGGAACAAAAACAGTTTAAAATTATCCTAATCTTATTTTTACAACAATTTCTAGAAATAATCGAAGATACCCCGTCAGAGCAATCTATCAACAACATGCGATGATAAAAAGCTATCTGTGGCTTCCTCTTTCGACCGTTGTTTTAGAACTGGGATGAAATATATCCTCCCC